TGGGGGGGAAAAGGAGAAAAGGCGGCCTTGTGCCCAGCGGGGCCCGCCCCCCGGCCGGTCCGGAAATCTAAAGGGGCAGCGGCCGGGCGAGAAAGCGAGCTGGGGGGCAGTTGGGCGGGAGCGAGCGGGGGCTGATCGGGCAGGGCGTCCTCTGTGTTTAGAAACGCTGCAAGACTGGCCCTAATGTGATACTTTCCTTCCTTCCCTGCGCCCTACTTGGCACCTCCCCACGGTCAGGGCGTGAAGCTCCGCTTGCAGGCAGCGCGTGGGACTCCTTGGTCCACTGCGTAGCCGACCACACGCTTGAATTCCCGTGCCCTTCCGCGTCTTGGGACACGTCAGCGTATTCTGCGTCTCCTGAGAAGGCTGAATACGGAAGAAGGAAATAGGCCAGTTTTGTGTACTCACTGGGAAGAATACTGCCCATAGTGGCTCCCGGCCCTCACAAGAATTCCTTCGCCTCTCTGTTGCCCAGGATGTAAAAGGCTGTCCATTGATTTCAGTTCTCTCGCTGAATCTTCACATACTTAAAACATGTTCATTCCTAATTTTATAGCTGAGCTTTTCTTTGTCTGAACCATCCCATTGTTCTGGAGTTCTAACCACGCTGTTATTGTCCAACACACAGTACTATAAGGAGTTATTCTTTGGGTTCTTAGAATAATATGGCAATAGGAAGCGTAGCCCAAATAGCAAAAGGCTGAATTTTTTTCAGTTCCATAGAGGAAGAGGAGAGGCTTTTGGATGCAGAAGTTTATAGGCTTAAATTGACTGCAGTGATGATGCTATGAAGCCAAGACTAAGCATGCCCTGAAAATTCCAAAGCATTATGAAATTCTAATATTGTATATAAAAGCTTGTTTCAAAGAATTTGGTGTTCTTACCAAAAGTAGTAGGGCTGTTTGGAGTAATCCTTACATTATGGATTCCATATTACAGAAGAAAGCCATAGTGCTAGGTAAATTGGAACAAATTCTGTTGAGTCTGTTATTTTCATTATGAGCATGTTATTCCTTCTCGAAGCATAGTTCTTCCCTTAGTATTTGAAAATGCATTCATGAGGACTTGCTGGGATCTTTATCTGTCTCACAGTATGACTACTAAATGCAAAGGGAAATATTTGTACAGCTATATTTTGAACCATCCTTATAAATCCTTTTGAACTAAGTGGAACTGTGTAAATGAAGTCAAAGTTGTTCTGTAGCTTGGAAGCTTGTGTATGGGTAGTCTCTAATTAGTGAGTACTAGTGAGGCTAAATAATGGAGATAAGAGGCAGGATGGGATGAAATTTTCACTATGTATATAGAACTGTGTAAAATGCATGATCTGAAATGAAATGTGAGATCATCCGTCATCATGGGATGAGGTATCATCAGTATGCTGATGATACTCAATTATAATGAAATTTTCACTATGTATATAGAACTGTGTAAAATGCATGATCTGAAATGAAATGTGAGATCATCCGTCATCATGGGATGAGGTATCATCAGTATGCTGATGATACTCAATTATATATCTCCATCCCTGGTGAGGTAAGTGATGCCGTGACCACCCTCTTGCGGTGCCTGGAGGCTGTAAGAGTCTGGATGGGGAACAACAGGCTTTGGCTGAACCCTGGTAAGAAGTCCTTCTGGTAAGAAGGCTGTGGGTTAATGGCTCCTCTGTATCTGGGACTTTGTCATCTTTGGTGCTGGATGGGGTGGCGCTGCCCCAGACAGACCCAGTGCATAATCTGGGGGTCCTCCTAGACTCACGCCTCCTGCTTGAAGAGCAGGTGGCAGCCGTGGCAAGGAGGGCTTTGCACAACTTGGTTGTGCATCAGTTACGCCATTTTCTGGATCAGGATGCTCTTCAAACACTCACTCATGCCCTTGTTATCTCCCAGATAGACTACTGCAATGCGCTCTACATGGGGCTACCCTTGAAGAGTATCCGGAAGCTACAGCTGGTCCAGAATGCAGCCACATGGGCTATTTTTGGGGTCCCAAGGAGGGCCCATGTAACGCCATTGCTCCGCGAGCTGCATTGGGTACCAGTTTGCTTCAAACTGGTGTTGGTTATCACCTTTAAAGCCCTACATGGCATGGGACCAGGTTACCTAAGGGACCGCCTCTCCCCTATGACTTCAGTCTGTCCCACCCAATCACCCAGGGTATGCTTCGGACCCCCTCAGTAAAAGAACTTCGATTAGCGGGGTCCAGAGGGCGGGCCTTCTCTGTAGTAGCCCCCGCTCTTTGGAACAATCTGCCCCCGGAGGTGCGATTGGCCCCCTCACTCCCGGCCTTCCGTAAGGCTTTGAAGCCCTGGTTCTGCCACTTGGCCTGGGGTGGGGAGGGAATACCTCAAGCATGGGGATGGCTGGCCCCATAGGCCTTCTGTCTTCAGCTCCAGATTTTTTCATTTTCGTGGAGTCTCCCGTTTTTAGAAATGTTTTTAAATTGATGTTTTATGTA